TCTAATGAGCAGATTTAACCTAAGCTGAGAAAATATTTCCACTGAAGTTTGAAATTTAAGTACGTGTTAGTCAGGTAAAGTAGGGGGAAAAGTATTTCAAGCAGAGGTTAAGGTCCCTGTGTTAAGGCTGTGAGGCCCAAGGGAAAAGAGCTTTCCCTTTAAAAGGACTGAAAGAAAGCAAGTGTGGTTTAAGCATAGTTAGGGAGGAAACAGGCCTGAATGGGAGGGATTCCTGGAGTGGGATATAGAGGTAGGCAGGCAGACTATGGAACATTAGGGATTTATGGACTCAAAATTTATATTCTCTGTTTAAGTAGGCCGGGCCTGGTGGCTCACACCTGTAGTCCCAGCACTTTGGGAGGCCAAGGCAGGCGAACCACCTGAGGTCAGTAGTTTGAGACCAACCTGGCCAACATGGTGAAAACCCATCTCTACTAAAAATACAAAAATTAGCTGGGCATGGTGGCAGGCACCTGTAATCCCAGCGACTCAGGAGGCTGAGGCAGGAGAATTGCTTGAATCTGGAAGGGGGAGGTTGCAGTGAGCCAAGATCATGCCACTGCATTCCAGCCTGGGCGACAGAGCAAGACTCTATCTCAAAACAAAACAAAGTGAAACAAAAAAACAAGGTGTTTAAGCAAACGTGGCAGCACCACAGGATGGGGGCAACCTAAACCTCTAATTTACCTCCATTTTAAAAAGGCTGATATGCAAATTGATATCTTACATGAGGTGTAAATAAAGGCCTCCTTAGATGATCACGTTTTCATTGACCTGTAACATCAGTTTGTATTATATAATGCTAACTTAAGTCCTTTTCCACCCCCACCTTTTACCTTCCAATGTCTAAGAACCTCCTATATAGAAATCCTGTCTACTACAGAGTTTTGTGATGCTATTTGTACATTAGAAAGATTCTTGGAACTGCGAAGTGGAGAAAGGATTATAGGATGCAAGGGTTGATATGGATAGCCCAGTAGAAGGCTTTTGAAAAAGCAACAGTAGAGATCATGGCAGCTTGGACGCAGGACCTGGGCAGTGAAGATGACGAGCACAGCTCCAAGAAATATGTAGGAGACTGACTCTATATTTGGTGATGGTTGAACTTTGGGGCTAAGGGAGGGGTAGGAGTCATAGGCAATGCCAGGGTTTCTGGTTGGGACAAGTGGATAGGTGGCAGTGCTACTGATGAGGGGGATGTTAAAAGGAAGAGCAAATTTAATGATAGCATGATTTAAATTTTGTTAGTTCACGTGGTGGAAATGGTAAATTAGTAAAGGTCTGCAATCAGGAGATAGAAACAAATCTGGAGGTCACTGGCTGATAGCTGCTAACTGAAGCTACAGGAGAGGATGACATAGTCCAAGACTATTGTGACACGAGAAAATGTTTAGGACTGAACTTTGAAGAACACTAGTCTGTACAGATTAGGTAAAGGAAGAGAAGCCCACAAAAGCATTGATGAGGAACAGCATAAAGATAGAAAGCAAGTTAACTGTGTCCTAAATGCCTAGAGGTTTATTCTTTTTCTTTTTTGAGACAGAGTCTCACTCTGTCACCCAGGCTAGAGTGCAGTGGTGCAATCTCGACTCACTGCAAGCTCCGCCTCCCAGGTTCACGCCATTCTCCTGCCTCAGCTTCCTGAGTAGCTGGGACTACAGGTGCCCCCGATCATGCCCGGCTAATTTTTTGCATTTTTAGTAGAGACGGGGTTTCACCGTGTTAGCCAGGATGGTCTCGATCTCCTGACCTCATGATCCGCCTGCCTCGGCCTTCGGCCCCCCAAAGTGCTGGGATTACAGGTGTGAGCCACCATGCCCGGCCTGAGGTTTTCAATTTTAGTGTCACTTAACAATGTCACATGTTGCCATAGGATAAGCTAAGAATGAAGTCTCTCCAGAACTTGGTGACATAGAGGTCATTGGTGACTCTAGTGAGGGCCACTGTATATACTGGGGGCAGGAGCCATAGTGGGTTTTAAGCGCAAATAGGAGGCAAGGACATGGAAAACATGGGAAGACACTTGAGAAGTCCGACTGTGAAGCAGATATAGGACTGTGGTTGGAGAGAAATATGAGAAGCAGATTTCTTCTGATGAGAATGGCGTGTTCAACAATCCATGGAAAGAGCGAATGGAGAAAGAGAGGAAAAATACGGACCAAGTAACAACAGACTCCATGAGAGAACGAGAGGAGATAGGATTCCAGCACATGTTGAATAACTGGCCTTTAATAAGAGGAGGGATTCTTCCTGTACAGGAAGAGGAGGGATGAAGTGAATGCAGATGCATTTGTGTACATGGGTATCACGTTTTTTTGTTTTTTCCCTGCGAAGTAATTAGTTACGGGGTGAAAGAGCCTTTAGAGTGAAAAGGGTTTGAAATAGTTACAGAAGGATTGAAGAGAAGCACATTAAGATTGTTGGCAGTACTGACAGCCTAACTCAATGTGCTGAACATGAATTTACAGTGATAAAAACCTACCAGAAACATGACCTCCAGCTGCAAGGATGCAGTAGTGTTGGGTTCATCCAGGGCTGGTATTTTGCCAGGCTGACACAATACAGCAGCAGCATACGTGAGCTTAATTTATTTACATCTGCTGAAGTCTAGTCTGCCAAACATCACCAGGCTCAAGCCTGTCTTCTGACAAAATCATTTATTGATTTGCAAGCAAGGGAACCAGAAGCAGCAAAGATGGTGCATTCCACAAAAGGGCAGGGGGTGCCATCTTTGGTAAGGTTTGGGTTCCCAATGTAGGGTTCTGAGCAAGCTATAAGGGAAAGGAGACCAGTTCTGGGTTGGATGCTATTTTTGTAGCAAGATTAGATGTGAGAATTAACTAGGGTGCTGCAATGAGGTGAGGGCAAGTTTAGCAACTGGATATCCCCAGTAGTAGATGGGTTATAGCAAAGTAAGTCTAAGGGTGTCATAGCCAGCAAAGCAGTGGTCACATAAGGAGGGAGTCATGATGGTATTTTATAGCTGCTGCAGGACCCAACAATTTCATGTTAACTTTGCAGCTGCCTTTATCTGCCTGTCCCCCTGACAGTCAGTGGTGGAGCTTTTTTTTCAGTTTAAGCCACTTTTTGAGTCCTAGAGTTTACTTTCATACCAAACATCCTCCTCTCATTAAATGTGAATGATTTTTCCCCCTAAAGTACAACTTAATCCATATGCATCTGTCCTCCCTAAAGATTTAATAAAGTACCTAATTATAGAATTAAGCTTGCTTTCTGGCAAGACCCAGCCTAGAGTGAACCTCAAGTTTCTTAGACCATCCCCCAATCACCAAACCAAAGCCCAAATCCTATCACAGGTTCTTTCTAACACACTCTTAGTGATGCACCCCGCAACTCCCACAAGGTGTATGTTCTTCACTGCAACAATAAGCTCAGGCTGGGCGAGGTGGCTCAAACCTGTAATCCCAGCACTTTGGGAGGTCCAGATGGGCAAATCATCTGAGGTTGGCAGCTCGAGGCCAACCTGGCCAACCTAGAGAAATCCAGTCTCTACTAAAAATACAAAATTAGCTGGGCATGGTAGTGCATGCCTGTAATCCCAGCTACTTGAGAGGCTGAGGCAGGAGAATTGCTTGAACCTGGTAGGTGGAGGTTGAGGTGAGCTGAGATCACGCCACTGCACTTCAGCCTGGGCAACAAGAACAATACTCTGCCTCAAAAAACAAAAACAAGCAAACAAAACCAAAACCCAATAAGCTCAACATGTTCAGGTACAGGTGTGTTCCTGGTAGTCTACGGCTGGAGAGCATTAACAACATAAAGACAGAGGGTCAGAGTTGATGACATGACTTCTAGGTTAAGACCAATATTTGCGTTTTGTTGCCAGACACAAGATTATATTTACTAGCAGCTCTGTGTCCTTGCTCATTGGAAAATGATCTTTCCTCAAGACTTACTGACATGTTTCTATTTAAGGCATGACAATTCTAAAGGCCAACAATTGTGGACAGGGGCAACTCTTCCTTTCATTATGTACTGTTGTAGTCAGTTATGCAAAGTCTGGTCAACCAAAGACCACCAGGCTCAAGCCATCAGTTTTAAAATATGGCCACATGCTCCTTGATGGCCTCCTATCTGATATGGTTTTAGTGAGTCCCTTAGGACCAAGAGAATATAATGGAACTAATGCCGTATAACTTCCAAATGCAGCTGCTTTCTGGGTCTTTTGAAATGGCCCTTCAGAATCCAGGCAACATGCTGTTAGAAGTCCAAGCTACATGGACAAGTGTATACAATTCTGGTGAACCATTCCAATCTAGTCTTGGCTTTAAGTCATCTCAGTACCATGAATCCAGATGATTATAGCTCTCAGATGTTCAAATTACCCTCAGCCCTTAGTTTTCCTTGCCTAGGCCTCAGACATCATAGAATAGAGAAAAGCCATCCCCATTGTACTCTCTCCAAGTTCCTGAACCATATAAGTCCACGAGCATAATAAAATGATTGTTTTAAGATGCTAGGTTTCTGTGCTTTTTTAAAAATTAAGCATCAGTAATACCGGGAACAGATACTGATTTTGTTGGTAGCTACCGTGAGTAGAGCAAATACTGGATGGTTACTCACAGAGCAGCTGCTAGAAGTTTCAAGTATATGCAATTAGCATTCCTTGTCCCTGGTCTAAGGTACCACCCCTTGTCTACACGTCCTCTCCCTCCAATATTATAGTCAGTGCTATCTTTAGAGAACTGCAGATTATGTTAATAGCTGCCATGTTACAGGAGCCATTTTGAAAAAAATATTTATTACTACAACTTCTGAAAACCACAATTACATAAATATTTTCTTTACAGAAGGAATTTTAAAGTTTTAATGTCTTATATTTGCTAGTTTTTCAAGGTAGACTTGTTAATGAATTCTTATTCAGAGAATGAATAAAATATCTTCTGATTTGATTTCAAACCATTAAGTAAATTCTATGTCATATAAACAAGTTCAACAGCAAATTATTTAAAATACCAGATACTACTTCAAAAATTTAGAGGAAACAGAACTATTTAAGCTTTATTTTCAAAGTCTAATTTTAATTCAGACTGAACAAACAAGCAGAAAAGTGAGAAAGCTAACTGTATTAGCAGACACAGATGTACCAAATGTAAAACAGTAGGTTATTAACAGAACTATTTACATGCATATTTACAAGCAATCCTTTTGTACATAGTTTTATTTTTAGTTAGCTGGAAAAAGATCTGACATTAGGTAAAAATATTATTTATTAGGGCTGAGGTGGTACCACATTATAGTAAAAGTATTAGAAAAGTGACCCTCAAGGTGTATCAATTATAAAGCAGATGAAAACTTGAATGACAAATATCTAGTAAAATTCTCTAGTAAAAAAGTCGATGCAACCCATGCTACAAAATAAAAGTGAGAAAGCCATATAAATAAAGCAGAATAATGTTCTAGGCTTTAAAGTAATGAATTTGGTCAGCTGAGAAAACAAAACAAAACAAAAAAAAAACAATTCTAGAATTGGAATAAATCTTCAGTGAAGTCTTGGTTGTTTAGTTGGGAGTTCACCAAGTTAGGGTTTTTTCCCCCGCCGCCCCATGACATTTAAAAAGCCCCTGGTATCAAATAGCATCTGCATATGTAAGTCAGTTGTTGATACATTCCAAGACTTTAGTGCTAAAGATTTTCAAGATTATGATTCATACTGGAAATTCAATTCATTGGGATACTAAACGTAAAAACTAAAATGAAAGCCATAATACTCCTACCTAAAAAAGGATGCTACATTTTTGCAGTAATATGTATTTCCAGACGAAGACTTTTTCTCCTCAAGAAAAGTAGAATTTAAAGGATAAGCATCTAACCAACTAGCAAAATTTTCAACATTTCATTTATTTCAAAATCGATTTTATTGCAGCCAAAACAGTAGAATTAACTGTACATAATAAACTATTTTATATATATACACATTTTAAGTTATAGGGAATAAAGTTTATTTTGGCAGATAGTGTTAAACAAAATTAAAGTTGCATACATTAGTAACATAACTCAACATCCTTAATTTGGTATAGGTGTTACACATTTTCTTGCTCTCCTGTGTTCTGCTAAATCACCATACCTAAACTGCTTTATAAAACTGATATGCTGAAATTTAACTTTACTGTTTTCGCTTACGCTCTGATTCCAAACAAAACTTTTCATAAGCTTCTTCTATCTCTGGGTCCATCTCATCATCAATATCATCCAAGTATCTGTAAAAGCAAAGATGATTCATAAGAGTGTAAGGTTTTTCAATTCAGAAAATAAGATGCTAAATCATGAAAAAAAAAGGTAATACAATTTTCCTAGACTGAGTTATATAGAACACAAGCCTAACTTTAGAATTACATTAATGGCAGTCTTTGGACAACCAAATGCTTAATTTGATAGGTAAAAATTTACAGATTCTGAGTCCCTTGTATCTGAAATTACAGTAAAGCATATATATACTTTTAGACATAAGTTAAATTCTGTAACTTGAAAATCAAAGGCTTGACATATAAACTTGGGGCTCAAGATTGATATTAATAAATTTACCTTACCAATAAACAATTAGAATATAACTATTAATAGAACATAATTTCAAATATGCCATTCACCTCTAGTGATGCACTAATATTTTATGTCTACTTAATAACAGAAAGTGCTATTCCTGCTATGATTTCTGCTGGGTTATTCCCATGATGACAATTTAGTCACATTCCCGTTTATTTGGAATCAGATTTTCATAGGAAGTTACTTTTGAGATCATCTATTCCAGATTTTTTTTCAACTATTAGGTAGTTTAAAATGGTGGAAAGCAAGGTTTCCCATAGTTAATTACGGGGGGAAAGATTTAAAGTGTACAATTAAGGATTTAATCTACACATTCTTACTGAATGTCCATAGCCATCTTAAAAAGATATGCATTATGATCATCTTCATTTTGGAGATGGAAAATAGAGAGACTCTGGAAGGTTAAATGAACAATGTAAAATTTTAAGTGTGTGGCGGGCCCAGAATTTGACTCCAGGTCTTACCCCCTTTTCTATGCTTTTCCTCCACAACATGATTCTATCTACACCTTCCCCACCCCTCCAATAATCCAATCCCTTCCACCTACAAGCATGAAAAAACAATCTTGCCAATCCTACCAACTGCTGATGAGTTCTTTTCTGTTTCTTCCCCATTTCTAATACAGGGCAATGTGTTTAAATAACCATGAGCTCATTAGGGCAAGAGAATATGATGCTTACCAAACAAACTTAAGAGGATAACCTGAAGTTCAATGCCAAGAACAACTTTATCTTCCAGCGGTATACCCAGGTAGACGGAACTTTCCTAGTTATGCCTGGGTCCTTAAATCCCTGTATTTTTTTGTTTTCTATTTAACTAGGATATAGAAGTATGGCAACAATTGTATTTCTAGATCTCAAACTGACCCATAATTAAAATATCACTAGAATAAAAGTGGGTCACTTTTTAAAAAAATCTACAACACAGGAGATGAGATATTAAAAAAAAAAATAAGTTCAAGATATAATTTATTCCCTCCCATCTCCTACTTAGGAAGAAAAGAAACTAAGTAGCTTGTCCAAATATACACAAGTTGTTAACGGAATTGGGACTAAACCTCACAAGTTCCTGGTCCTTCTATAAGAAAATGTAGTGCAATCTGATGGTAATTGAGTAATATGTTAAAGGGATCTTTAATTACAGAGTGGCAGGTGAAGAAACAGATATAAAAACAGTCCTATAATTAACATCTTATCAGTTCAAACATTTTTACATAGTAATCTGTTTTCTGTACTCTTATCCTTTAATAGCTAATATTTGAGCCATCTACTGTGTGCCAGAAGGCTAAGTATTTATGTATTCTCATGTAGTTTTCCAAAAAAAAAAAAAAAAAAAAAAAAAAAAAAAGACTCAAGGACAGGTACTACTATTCTTATTTTATAGACGGAGAAGCAGACACAGAAGTTGCCCACGATCTTACAGTACGTTTTAGAACTTCTTGAAGTCTAGATACAATAGAATCTATTTTAAAAAAATAATTATGCTTAGGCATACTATATTTTAATGGTTATTTTCCTCAACTATACATTTTTCAGAACTAGTCTGTGAGTTAATACAATTTTCTGAAAATTTTTAACACATAACCACTACCACATAGCACTATCAAATCAAAATATCAAAATGCCTTTTTTTTTTTTTTTTTTTGAGACAGAGTCTAGCTCTGTCTCCCAAGCTGGAGTGTGCAGTGGCAAGATCTCAGCTCACTGCAACCTCTGCCTCCCAGCCTCCCAACGTTCGAGCAATTCTCCCGTGCCTCAGGCCTCCCGAGAGCGGTGTGATTCTGTGATCCTGCAAATTTTGTATTTTAGTGAGAGAACGGTTCACCATGGTGGCCAGGCTGTCTTGAACTGGGCCTCAGTGATCTGCCCTCCTCAGCCTCCACAAAGTGTTGCGATTACAGCGTGAGCGACTGTCCTGGCCCAGACACCATTCCCTTTCATGAGCCTACTTTGTCAATCCCCCTAACAATCAGACCATGGAAATTCACGAAGTTGTATAAGTAAAGAAAACTTACGGATCACCAGCCCCGGATAAATCTGTTCCATTTTCTTCATAATCTGAAAACAAAAAAGTCCTCCTCTCCTTCAAGTAATTCTTGATATTTCTCTTGGTAACCTGTAAGACAACATGGAGAAAACTAAATGCTGAAAATATCAATAAAATTGAAATGACCAATCACCCCTAAATGTTTTTAAATATTATGACTTTTGCCCCCCTGGCATGCTCAGAAATCTTAAAGTAATTACATCAAAAGTACTATAAATATAAGTGGAAATCAAAGCCATTGGCGTAGGTGATGTACATTCATGGCCAATGTGTACTGCTGACATTCTCTACTGCTGCTTTCCATCAGACAGAATAATGGTTATATAACTGTTGGGGAAGAAACAGTTCTTCCCATACTCCTGTTTTTCCCTTTCATTGGAAAGATATTAATCAAAATATTACTGGTTCCAGCTACCCCTGAACTCCTCCACAAGGAAGTAAAGAAAGCTATCTGGTAAAGTAAGCAGGTAACACCAAATGGTCTCTGTTGCTCAGATGAGGTTAACCTACAAAAGTTTTGACATGGGTGATTTTCCTTCCTTTCTTCCCAGAGAGATGGGGCGCAGCTACCTGGTAAATGTTTCAGCCTCCTGCGCAACTT